ATGTATATATATATGTGTGTGTGTGTGTGTGTGTGTGTGTGTATGTTTATATATATGTATATATATATGATATATATATATGTATATATATATGATATATATAAATATATATGAATGTCTGTATGTATGTATTTATGTATGTATGCATATGTCTATGTATTATATATTATGTATATATATACCTAAATATGTATGTATGTATGTATGTATGTATGTATATATATATGTACGTATATATGTTTGTGTGTATGTGTTTGTATTCAAAATCGCAGCCGCACAACTGACTCCTATCATTGCCATTTCAACAGGCGGGAATCCGTGGGTTATATCCCCCGATGAAAGGGCGACCATGGAGCGCACCTTTCAGAATATTGGTCCTTTGAATGGCAAGCTTTCGGGTATGTGAGAATTCAGGCCCTTTGTTTTGTTGTAGTCGAACATTGTGATGTTTATTTATTTGTGCCTGAACTGGACCATTTTGACACAAGGTTGAGCGCTTCAAATCCCTGTGTAAACACTTGTGTGTAGTTGTTGGCAGACCAAACGGATAGTCCGCTCTAAGTATGCGTCTCATAACGCGGTCGATTTGCTCACTGGCTACAGCCAGTGTAGAACGTCAAATGGCGGGAACTCAAAAAATCCGCAAACCTTAGTGTGTGATACAGTTTATGCAATAGTTCCTAGTGTTGCGTCGATCACTTCAGTTTCAAGCGCAAATACGTTTGATTGCTGCCCATATAGCGGCATTTTATTAAACAACGCCTTCAAGATGCAGGCGCAAAGACCTTTGGTTCCGGCCTATGTAGCGGCATTTTATAAAAACTTCACCACATTCCAGCTATAAATGAGCTATGACTGCTTGTGCACTAAACTACCAGAAAGGTCCCGATAATCAATGTGCTTGTCAAGATACTTCCTTTCTACAAGCATACGTGCACATCAACTGAGTGTCCCTCTCTGTCAGTGTGAAAAGAAACTTTATTTGCAACCCCTTAATCGATCTATTGTTGTATTGTCAACAATCTCTCAGGACCGATTGCGCGCACCTATTTTATGAAAACTGGACTGCCAAACCCCATTCTGGGACAGATCTGGCAGTTGTCCGATATGGACCACGACGGCAACCTGACACTCAATGAGTTCTGTGTGGCGATGCATTTGGTGAACAACAAATTGCAGAAGCGCATTGATCCTCCCTCGTCACTCCCGGATTCTCTCCGCAACGGCGGAGCAGGTATGAACGCACAGGACACTCAATAAGCTGGGGGTGTGCTTGATGTTGGTGTGTGTATGTACATTGTATTCTGATCAATGGCGAGCTATTACTTGGGGCATATTATCATCCGTGTTATGTATGTAGGCTAGGGGCGTTTGGTCGGTGGAGTGCTGTTGAGTCGGCGACGACATGATTGGTGTTGGTGTGTGTATGTACATAGTATTCTGATCAATGGCGAGCTATTACTTGAGGCATAGTA